TAGAATATTTTTAAATAATATAATCTTTCTTTTGTTTTCTTTTCTTTTATTATAGAATTTAAAAAATATATATTATTAACTTTTATAATTTTTTAAATATTTGTAACACAGAGGAGAATATGTCAACGTGTCAAACTGTAAAAAGTAAAGATGTAGCTAAATGATGATCCTGGCTGTGCAGTGTGTGGAGATACTGTAAATGTATGTTCACATTATCTAACTGAATTTCTTCCAGCTTAATTTTGATTAATTATACAGTTTATATTCCCCATCTGTATCTACATATGATACATTGGAAGAGTTACTGCTGCACTACACTGACCTCTAGTGGTCTGGGCCTGTAATGCCTGAGGCTATAACAACAGCAGCAGCTCCAGTTCATCAGTTTAATAACAAAAGGGACCTATATCATCTATAATGACAACCAAAATGACACTTGTGAGACTTATAAACGACTATAAATTGTTAATAAAATACCACACGATTCTATTACCTAATTAATACCTGAGATAAAATACAATTCTCACCTGCGGGCCAGTAGTGTAAGATCATTTCTAGAAGTTGAGTTTAACACAGTGGATATGTAGCTCAATCTCAGCTTGATTTGGAGTGTCTAAAGGTGCAATGGTGGTGGAGATGACCTCTCTTGGCCTAGAAATAATCAATACCTCAGCAGAAGGTGGTCATACAGTGAAACAACTCAGAGTAGCCAGCAAAGTGTATTTTGTTGCTTCTTTTCGTTCTTTTTATAATTTAATGATTGTTTATTTTGTGCGTATAATCTCTGTGAGGGCATGGTGTTGACCAGAACTAAATAATTCAATTTTCTTGAAATTCAATTAACATTTTAGCTGTTGTAGGCTGTAACTCTTTGGGTCAATTTATTCATTCACTTTCCAATATTGTCTCAACCTGTATAACAAACCAAATGGTAGAGTGTTTAACATTAGAAATACTAATCATGTATCCTAACCTAATTATTTAAAATGCAGCTCTGTATAAGAGAAAGAACCTTGATTCACCAAATGTTGCTTAAGGTCATCATACATCAAGCTACAAAGAAGAACAAATAATGAAAGTCCATCTGCCTTTAATACTGCCAACCACAAGGATTTGTACTTTCAACAAAACTTTGAACAGCATTAAAACTAAATCGTTGATTTTAAACAACAAAAACATGGCTTTCTTATATCTTTTGTACACATGTTAAAGGTGAAATATGTAGCCTAAGGATTAGCCCCCTGTCAAATAGCTTTAAACGAATGGGAGGGAGCATGAGTCCTATTAGCTGACTCTGACAGGAGGGGCCGAAGCTAGCTGCTTAGCATGCTAACTTCTGTAGATACTGTATCTCTGCAACACGACAACCTACATAAACGTCTTTACATAACATCAAAACTGTTATTTCTTCACATTTTGTCGATAATTTTAGTTCTACTTCTTGAATGTTTTGAACTAAATGTTTTACATATTGCACCTTTAATCAATGAAATCCAATGCAGTTTCCATCTAACTGGAATGAAAACCTGTGTATTATGTGTATTTTAAGTGGCAAATTGATGTCTTCTTTCTGCAGTGTCTCCAGTGTTCTCATGTGCTGTCTTCATTGGGCAGAAGCTGTAATTAAAATGACATCTAGAATATCAATTCACCCAGAGAATTAAAATACAAAACAACACATTTTATCCCAGTGAGGAAATCAAATATGTAATTCACGTCTATATCAGTTCAAACCAAAAGAATGATCTGATCATTGTTGAGGCATCCATACTTACGTGAACACTTTCACTATCTGTGTCCGGCCGCTGCCATTTGTTTCTAGACAAGATGCCAAAGACAACCAATCCAAAGGCCACAGTGAGGATGCCGAGGGAATTAGCAAACTTTGCTTCCACAGGCAGTGAGTTATAAGGTTCACCGCTGCTTCCGTTACTACAACAGACAGAGAAATTAAGTTCATGGGTTCAGTTTTGTAAATGGTTGATTTTTTGGCTGACTGATTTATAGTGCAACTTCTGCATCACACTTTTTTTAATGTGTGTGTAAAATTATGTGTGATATTGGCTGTGTTGTGATCAGTTAGATATTTGAGCTCTTACAGAGTAAGTAGCAGTTTCTCATTGATACCACTGATGCAGGAGGTCAGACTGAGGACCAAGATGGCTTTTCCCATCCAGATATGGACTGGTTTCAGGGTGCTACGGAACCACATTGTAGAACAAGGAAACAAGAAGCCAGCCAGGCCAAGGACCCACTATTAGCAGCATGGTGAAATGACAACAAGGGAAGGATTCAGTGTTTTCTTACAGAATAATTCATAATTAAACATTTCATATGAACAACAGGAGGTTCATATCTGTTATCCATACCTGGAATGTAAACATTACCACAGTACAGAGCCCCACCCAGCTGTGCAGAGAGTACAGATCAGGGATGTGGGAACCACTGTGGAAGTCAAACACGGCACACAGGCCCAAGACGGACAGAAACAGAGCCAAAAGCATCAGTCCAGCATGAACCAGTTTCCAGGTGTTCTTCTTCTGCTTCCAGGTGAATGGTGCGCGATACACAACGGCCGCTGCAAGTTGAGGAATAAATAAGGCAGACAGTGCATTTGTAATCATTTGCTATTTTTTGCTTTTCATTGAAATTGCTAAATAATTACTTGATATTGGCACTGTCATTTTACAGTTTTAAAACTGAAAAGTCAGAGGATATTTTCACTTACGTTTCACATTCAAATCATCTAGTTTATGCACTCATCCAGTGAAAAAATTAATGTGTTCAGTGTCTGCATAGATTATTATTAAAATAATAACCAAATCCACTAGTTTTCAGCAGTTTCATTGAGTGACAGTATTTTCAGGCTCAGTCAGCCACAGTGAAAAATCATTTCAGCTGAGACATCTACGAGGAATGATGATTCACTACTAAACAAAACCCTGATCAATTGCTGGAAATCAATTCATTCATAACGGTGCAATAGATTTGTGCAATGTATTAATCCATCCCTGTATCTACACAAAAATGAACTGAAATATAGCTGTTAATAAACATTTTCAAGAGTTTTTGCCCCAGAAACGTTGAAGGGATACTCCAGTAATTTAGAGCTACAATTAGTTATGTTGGGGGACTCACAAGTAACAGAAAAAGCTTCACACACACTGGATCCTAAAGTAGTCATAATGCAGCACAGAAGCATCTTTTGTTCTCCTTTGACTCTTTCTGCCTGACAAAATGCCCATATCTTTCAAATACCACACTTCCAATCAATAACACAGCCTTTCTATTAAAGATTTTAAGTCTCAATCCAAGATAACCCCAATGACAGAATCTGGTTTATTTTCTCCCTTCAGAGCGACAGAAGATGGAGATATTGAACTGTTTTCACATTTCAATATAACGAGGAGTTGACAAATAACTGATCGATATCTGTAAAAATGACCTTTAAGGCAAATATTATTTCTTTGTATGGTCAGTGGTTGACAAATGATCCAAGATATTGGGGTATATTTAATCATAAAAGTCCTGGTTGCATTTAATTTAAAGATATCTCTCTGTAAACTACCAACTGCATCCTCCAAACTGATCATACGACTGAATCAACACCTCTCTGAAACAGTTTCATTAAAAAGAAAAAACATTATAACCTTCACGCAGAGAGGATTTATTGCCTGACTGTTAGTAACCTACCGTTGCCATACAGAACCACCAGCCCAGACACCATGAGGACAGGATGCCAGTTGAACTGCAGAGCTGAGCCATCCCAGGAGAAACCACCTCTCCAGTGGGAGTTCCAGTACGTCACAAACAGCAGACAGAACAGGCCCAAACACACACACAGTGCGTAGGTGAGGTAGAAAAACACAGACGGCCTCATCGTACCTGTGAGTTTGGGAGGGAGATGTCATATATAGAACATGGTGAGTTTATGTGAGTGTCTGAATGATTAAAAAAGATAATTTACTTGAGTAAAAGTAATTAAACAGTGTAAAAAAAGTACAGTCTTTGTCTGATCCAGATATTACAAGCATTAGAAATGTTACTTAGACAAAAGTGTATCTTATATATTTAAGAAGAATTTAGTTTAAAAAGTAATATTACTGTAGAACAGCCAATTTCATATGTAGATTATTTTACTGATATACTCATGTGTAAGTGTAGGCTGTACAGTAGCTGTTATATATTGTTGGTCAGTTCTGTCTCTAACAGCGTAAATCCCCAAACTTATAATAGCCATTATGGCCATAGTTTAGGTCCTAATTAATTTATAATAAATTAAATAAATTTTCTTGAACGAGTGGAGGAAGAGCATTTCAACCTGTTTTTAATCCAAATGAACAATAAAGTATAGGGTGCACTAGAATTATTTTGAATGTTGTAATTGCAGGCTTAAGACTCAAATATAGACTAGCGAATAATGAGATATAAGCAGGGAAACATACATTATAATTGAATATATTAATTATACAGTATGTATGAAAAATCTTAATTAGTAACTGAAGCTCTGCAGTATAAATAAGCATGAAGTGGTAAAAGTATCTCAGTACAGTACTAATATCACATAAATGTACTTTGTTACATTCCATCACTTCTCAAAACACACAGAACAATGTTAAAAAAAAAAACCTTTAAAGGCATTATAACATTTTGAGCTTAACTTTTCAAAAACAAACCGTCCGTGTACCGATTAGTACTCACCAGGCGAGTGCTTCTGTCCCTCCAGTGAATCCTGCCTCTTTACGCTCCTTCTACTTAAAGATGATCCCAAACCACAACCATAAACATCAATTTTCCTGTTGTCCTACTTAACATTTTACGTCCATTCATTTATAGATCGTCTCAGATTGTTAGGATGAAGTTGAATAGGTCTGGTGGGTAAAAGAGGGATGGTTTTACTGGGACCAGGTCTGTTTTGGTCTAAGGGTTGTGTGCAAAAGAAAGATTACAAAACAGATTTCACGTGTCGTAACATAACTCACTTTTTGCTTGGTCATGTTGATTTGCTATATAGACTCTCCTGTTTATTACAAAGCAAACTTACTGTAACATTAAAGTAGTAATAATAAGACATATTTATATAGGACAGGGTATATAAAATACTCCTTTGCTTTGGTTTCGCATGCTGTATTATATTTGACAATGATTTATAGATGAAGTGTTGTAAGCATGAACCATCACAAATATGTTTTTGTATAACTTCCTTTTAACAGACCTATAACATGCTTGACTACATGCATTTTTTGTTTGTGCATGAACGGAGTCACAAAGTAAGGTGTTATGAAGATGTTTTTTTTCTTTTTCAAAACAACCATGTGGCTGATAGAGACCGCTTACCATATCATATAATTTAGCACAGACCTCCAGTATGAATAAAGCCTCCACTGTTTAGCAACAATTCTGAGCTCCGGACTAAAGCAGATGATCACTGAGTCTGTCACGCAGGCAGAGTGACACCAAATGAACGTGTAATCTCATTTTACTATGAAATGATGCAAAGGTAGGAGGAGCGTGAAGCTGAGCAGCACTTTTATTGAAGGCACTTAGAGATAGGTTATGTTAACAGCAGTAAGAACTCAGATGCTCAATGCATAGTTTGATTAATTCAGACCTGTGACAGCAAAACAATACACTATTCTGCATGTGAACAAAGGTGTTAATCTACACATCATAGAGCAGCACAGTAACTGGAGCACTCAGCGCCATGTTGTGCATGATTTGCTTGGAACAAATGTTTTCGTCATCTTCATCCTCCACAAAGACGGACAGAAAGTGATCAGCGTTCCAGGGCACTTCCTGAGTCTGAGAGGCCAGCACACGGATGCTCTCGGTGTCTTTCCTGAAGTTGAACTTTTTGTCAGCAGGAAGCACAGACGAGCTCTTCCAGCTCTTATCGTCGCCTCCAGACTGGGAGGAGATGAAGGCGTCAATCTCCAGAGCCTTCTCTGTGACGAATACTCGGACGTTCCTCTTGCTGTAGTTGCTCATTTGGGATGCGGTGTTGATGTTTCCCATTTTGTTTTGTTTGATGTGATTGGTCTGACTGGTCAGGACTGCAGAAAATAAACAGTGATATTCATCATAAACTGGATTCAAATTTGTGGACATATCCCACACAATGTACACTATTTCCCCACATTTGAATACTGTTTTAAATCTTATATATTTACAATATCTTAAGCTTTGAATATGTAACAACTCACATTTAAAATTCTTATTTTTACTCTAATCATCTTTCTTTATTGCACACTACATTTTAGCACAGACACAGGAACATGCCACCAAGCAAAGTAGCAACTTTTGAATTTTAGACATTACAAAGCAATAAAACTTTTCCACTCTGGTGAAGCAGAATGATCAATGTCAAATTAGGATTTTGAACACGTATATTACACCATCCATGCCAGCTTTTGATAGATTTATTCTGTAAATGAATAGAAAACACATGCACTACATATTTAACACACATGACTTAACAAAACAGGTTTAGTTTCTTAGCGTCTATTCTGGGTCAAAGACAGAATGAATTCCTACCTGCTGCAACAACGAAGGCAAGGTGACAATACGATAAACTGCCACTGCCTTCCTGACCTACGCAGTGTGTGTTTTATGGACAAAGCCTGATAACATGCAAAACCTTGTAGCACAGCTACCACAGGGCAATAAACTGTATGTACCTGCTTTAAAAGGGCAGCCCAGTGTGGCCCACATCTGTGAACTCAACTGTTTTGTCGGTGAAAAGACATTAATAATACTAATTAACAACATCCTTGTTGAGTTGTTAAATGCTTATTTAGAAAAAAAAGTGTAACTGGTTTGAAAGATAAGGCTGGTGTTATTCTTACTGTCAATAAATCATGAAACAATTAAACCAACAATGTGTTAGTCCATCTCTCAATATTTTTTTACCTCTCCCACCCTGCCTGTGGCCCATTCGTTCTACTGGATCTTTAAAAACAGGTAAAAAATACATAATTTCATTTTTAAAAAAGGCTGATAATTCCCTAAAGCAGCCGGGCACTCAAATCGTTGACAACGTCAATCAAAAAGGAGTAAATAGTGCATTTGTTGGGGACTATTTTTAGTTGCGGATTAATGAGTATTTCTGGAAGCAGGACGGCGTATGTGGGATTGCCTCCAAACAAACATACAGTGAACATGTCACTGATGTGTTTTTACTAGTTTTTGGACAATGGAGTTAGATAGAACAGAGGAAAAAGATATATCAGGCTCTGAGATAATACTTTGTATTATTATTATTGTATTCATTGTTGGCTTGGGTCTTTTTATGGGACTATAGGAACAATAGAGAATATCAGTAACATTTTAAGTTAAGTATGTTTTCATGTGAACATTATAGAAAAACAACAAGTTAAAGTGGTACAGTTTGAAGTGGAGAAGCTCCATGACCCATTAAGGACAAGGTTACATTTCCTAACGAGGTATACCACTGTGAAAGTGATAGAAAGTTGCCTCTCTGTAGTTACAGCACCTCGTTAGATAGCGCCATTATTTGCTGCATAGTTTGCATATTCAAAATGAAAACGCAGCAAAGATAAGAGCATTTTTCTGTTGAGTTTATGCTGCCTTCCAGCCCTCATTCTCAGCACAATGAGGCCGTGGTTGCTGCTGGTGTCCCTGTTCGTCTCTGACCTGAGTCCCCTTGGAGACGGGGACTGGGTCGTGGAAAACTACAGCTGGAGTTTGTACAGAAAACTGCTTCTCAATGGACAGATGACTCCCAGAGGACAGGAGAAAGTTCAGACCCAAACTAAACGCCACTGCATGTGTATCCAGAAAAATTATGTGTATGTTGCTGTGCTGCACAAACAGAAGACCTCCCACTTTCACTGGGCGTACACAGTCCATGATGATCATGGATGCCGTTTGTCTCAGCAGGAATTTACAAGAATAATCCATAAGAATCATATTCCAGCACTGGTATGTTTATTTAAATCAGTATTAGTGTGAATTTACTTTATTAATGTACTACTTTGTAGGTTACGTCCCTGTGGTGTGTTCAACTTATACCACTATGTTCCAAATGTTCTGTGAGCAAAATCTCACATTTCAATTAACACATTATTTATTTCTAGCCTCTGTTCTGTCCCTCCAAAGCGTGTGCATGATATGTCAGCATCACAGGTGGGATGGACACCTTTTACAAGGCAGCCAGATCACACTACATAAAAGCATGAAGCTGATTATTAAACAAACATTAACAACACGGTTTATTTTTGTCTTCATTTCACACTGTTGATAATCAGAATATCTGACATGCAGCATGTTTTTGCACCTGTTTATGGAAGAGCAGAGAGATTTCCAACTAAAGCTTTACACTAGAAAGAGAGACTTTACTTTAAAAACCGGCTTTGTACATACACTTAGAATATTACTAGAAAGATTGCTACAAATGAGAAGGAGATTATAAAAGTCATGGTTAAACAGACATATCGAAATAAATTAACTAAAAGAAAAACTGCAACAGTTGTGGACATGTGAATAACTCCCTTTGAGATTTCCTTCTTTCTCTTTAACCATATACCCAGATATCAATGAATGCTGCATGGTCGACAGTGTTTGTAGTTGAGTAGTGTGTGAGGGGAACCACATGCCGTTAAAGTAAAAGCTAAACATGGACACATGAAAGCTCTAAACCATTAAATTTTTTTTTAAAAAGTACTATTCTAGCTCTCTTGGAGGCTGAGCTCATCAGAGCACTCACATGCTCATAAGGGTGCTGGCAAGCTACCATTTAGCAGGTTTATAATTGTCACAATGTTAACCTACTAGCATTCTAGCATTTGCTAATCATCTCCATATATAAAGTAGGTCAAGCAGCATGTTATAATTCTGCAGATATTTGACCATAAACCAAAG